GTAGGGCCCCCTATATAGCCTCTAGTATAGCCCCCTTTAAGATAGTCTGTCAGAGGGGCGGCCACTTTAGAGTAGTTTTTAATAAAACGCCTATAAAAACTCGTAAAGCCTAGGAAGACCTGTATCTTCCTATTTAGCCTGTAGATAAAACCGAGAAATTCCATGTCTCTAGTCTTAAATTCATACTTATTGGGGTTAGTATACAGGGACCACTGCCTAAGCCTAGTAAGGACCTCGTGGACATGTACGCGGTAGATGACTAAGTCCTTACTATAGATAAGAATATTATCAAGGTATACTATATAGATAGTATTGATAAGGCCGGATAACGCTTGGTTAATATAGTGTTAGAAGCTCGCGGGGGCGTTTATAAGACCAAACGGTATTACGAGATACTCGTAGTGACCGTATTTTATCCGGAACGCCGTTTTCCACTTAATCGCCCTCCCGAATCCGTAATCGGTAGTATACGTCTTTAAGATCCAGCTTAGTATAGTACTACGCCGATAATAGCCGATCTAGGATTTCGTAGATAAGGGGCAGGGGGGTACGGTCCTTAACGGTCACCTTATTCAGCCCTCTATAATTAATATAGAGATGTAGCTTACCACCTTTCTTAGGGACAAATAGGATAGGGGCGCCGGCCGGACTAGTAGATAGTCTAATCCACCCTTTTATAATAGTATCCTGTAGATACTAACGTAGTACCTTAAGCTCCTAGACGGCGAGGGGATAAATAGGACCGTAAGGAGGCTTTTTCCCCTCCTTAACCTTAATAGCGTGGTCCTACTACTAGTGCGTCGGTAGCCGTCCGGCGTTCTTAACGTTAAATATATTAGCCAAATCTTAATATTATTCCGGTAGCGTAGTAGCGGGTGCCCCGGCTTCTAAGAATTTATCTCTATATCCTATTAAAGGGTTTTTTGCTAGGCCGATATAGCCGATATATAGGCCCCGCGTGGAATCTATATAGGTTAGAGTAAGGGTAGACTTAGCTTATCTAACTACCCTATGCAGCTCTCTTAGGGATATAACCATACTAAGTTCTACGTAGGTTAAGGGGTAAGTCTATATACTATACTGCTAATTAACGTTAGGGTTAACGGCTATAAGCCACAGCCTCCCTAGGATAATCTTCGCGCCTATAAGATTTATAACATGGAACTCGGCGCGTTATACCTTTTTCGCCCCTAATAGTCTATCACGATAATAATCCTATAAAGTGATTCTAGAGTTATCTTCGTTTATCCTTCCGTAATCTAGGATACCGGGACCGGGGACCCCTCGGGAACCTAATTAGGTCCTAGGAGGGACTAATCCAAAACGTTAATATCGGCGCCTCCATTAAGGAGAGCCGACGTTTATACCTATTCCCTACCTCGGCGAAGGGAAACGCGTGCCTTTACTAGTATAATAGTGGTAGAGGGGGTTATTTAAGGTGGGTATTACCCTTAGGACACCTTACCCGTAACACGGCCGACTATAGGATAAGACGTGGATACCGGCTAGGTATTCGGGTTATGATTACTCGAGCGCGACCGCTCGGTATAAGGGCTAAGGTATATAGTAGCGTAGTACCCCTTTTAGTTATAGTTATAGTAAGTAATAGAATCGAGGTACGATAACAGTCTAGGGCGTATAGGGTAGCTAGGAGTAAAGGTTAGGGTAGGCGTAGGGGTAGACGCGGGGATACTAGTGGAACCATAGGTGGCCGTCTAGGTACTCTATCCTAGGGCACACGAACGGAAACGACGTTATTAGGCATTAGACTAGAAGTCTACTCGAGTAATAGTTAGCCCGTTATTAACAATTAAAGCCTTAGCCCTATAATAGGCCGGGGCTAGATCCTAGTAGTCCTTAGGAGCCCTTATAGATACTATATAGTCCTAAATAAGTAGGAGGACCCTTATTAGTACTATCTAAATCCTCTATTAGTCTAGGAGTTTGCCTGGTAGTTCCGACTCTAGGGCTTCCTACCGTTAAATAAATTTAGCGTAAGACTCCCCCTCTCTCTAGGAGGAGATAGACTCGCTCTAGATTTATACCGCTACCTCTTATAGGCGGGTGTTATTATCGTTAACCTAATAGAATAACCAGGCTTATAGGGCGGCCTAGCTAACCCTATTAGAGTCGCTATCGTACTTATATTGTAGTTCCGCCTACTAGCGCTCCTTAAGGTAATAGGGGAGGCACGATATAACGAAGTAGTTTTTCGCAGCGTCCGTGGGAAAGGATTAAGAATCTAGGTCGAACCGCTAGTTAGTCTCCTAAATAAACGTGCGATCTTTAGCCTAGAACACGCTATCCTATTTTAGAAGGGTAAAATTAAACTTAGCCTATATAGCGGATCCGTGTATAGATAATATCGTAGATATATCGTGAGTATACTAGGACCCTAACGGGGTTACGATAATACGACGCCAAGGTTCGGCTATACGACGGTAGGTGATATCGGCCGGGCTAGGATTAATAGTAGGATTAATAGCGGCCGTAGTAGTGGCGGTAACAGCGATAGCGGTAATATCCGCCTTAAGCTTAGCGAGATAAGCGAGCTTACGCTTATAGTGGTTCTACGCCTTTATCCACTTAACGCGTTCGTTTAGTTATTCCTCTATTAGCGTGGCTAGGTTAACGTTCGTATACGGGGGTAGGTTAGGGTTATACGCGGGTCCCGTTATAGTTATAGGAGGGACGGGGACGGTGATAGGGGTAGAGGTAGTAGTAAAGGTAATGCTAGTGATAGGAGTAGGTATAGGGGCAGGAATAGGTACCGGTGCGGTAATAAAGGTAGGAGTAGTATTAGTTCCCGGCGTGTTCCTGTTATATTCCTTATTAGCGGGGTCGTTTTCTATAAAGGCGGTCTCGCTATCGTGGAGCTATCACTTAAACTAACTAGCAGCCTTATTAAAATTAAAGGTAGGATCGTTTATTTCGTGATAGTTAGATATCTTAGTGACTCTCCTTAACGGTCTTCGCGCCCTTAAGGGTAGAGCGATTAAAATATTAAATAGGTAGTCGTAAAGAGTGAAAAGGTAGGGTTAAGTAAGGAACCAGGTATAATCACGATAGAATTATAATGGGGTTAGAATATAGGTATAGCTAAAGAATCAGATTAATCGCTAGCCTCCCTCTTCTAAGGGGAGGCTCCCTCGCTCCTTAAAGCTACGCTCTACTCCTCGAGGACTATTTATTTACTTCCTTAAGGGCTACCTTATTTGCTTCGAGGGACTATTCTGTTTACTATATAATAACTTACTTTATTTATGCCTCGAGAGGTCTTAGACTAGGCATACCTGGATCCCTGTGGGTTTATACTAGGGACCCAGTATAACCACTACTATAGGCACCTAATATATACTATAAAAGATAGGATTTACGGCTATACTTAACAACCCCTATATTATAATCCGCGATAGTTTAATCCTATTCTTCTACGTTAACGATATCGGACTTATCTACTATAGAGATCGTAAGACTAACGCCGACGACCTTAAGGCTGCCCTTAAACAAAGCTATAGGCTATTAGGAGGCGATAAAATCCGTTAGTTCCTAGGAATTAAGGTTTTAAGGGATAGAGCTATATATAGGTTATAGCTATTATAATCCTTTTACGTAGAGAAGATCGCAGTTAAATACTACGTAGATATCCTTTACCGAAAACCACTAAAGGTTCTATTATTAACTATAAAGCCGCTAATACCACGTGATAGTATACGCGCGTCGATTCCTAAGGTCTATTAGTATTAGGGTATAATCGGTTCTATCCTGTACACCGCTATTATAATAAGACCCGAAATCGCGTTTACCTATTTAAAGCTTTTCTAATATAACGTTAACCCCTCCTCTAACTACCTTTAAAGGGCTTAATAAGTGCTACTATTCTTATATTATATAAGGCATTATTACCTAGAATTCGGTAGGGATAGACTCTTCCTAACCGTAAGCGACACGTCCTTCGGGGATAATCTAGACCGTAAGAGCTCCTAAGGATACACAATAAAGCTTTTCGGCGGTATTATTAACTAGAAGGCGGGTAAGTAACCGATAGTTACGGCATCGTTAACAGAATCGGAACTACTTACTCTTATAGAGGCCGCTAAAGAGACGCTATTTGTTAGCCGGATATTAAGGGATTTAGAACTCCGGTTAGATTAATAATAACTATAGCTATACTACGATAATTAGCAGACTATTAACCTCGTTAATAAGAAGGCATAACGCCTACGAATAAGGCTACGGTATATCGATATTTATAACTAGTAGGCGTGCTAATTAGTATAGTAAGGCCTCTTTAAGGTTATATACGTTAATATAAAGAATATAATCGTGGACGGTTTAACGAAGGCATTACCGGAGGCAGGGATTAAAAGACTATAGTAATAGCTTAATTTAACGGATTAAAAGGATTGTATCGAGTAGTCGAAATAACTACACGAAGAGATTAAACACGCTAAAGCTATAGCTAAAGCCGTGGCCGTAACGATAATAACAGCCTCCGAGGGCGTAGTAGATCCGATAGATATAGATTCAATTAAGTAGATCCGGCTAATTAGGATCGAGGAACTAATTAAGATAGAATTAAATTAAACGGTTAAATAGGGCGGATTTAGATCCCTTTTACAAGGGCGTTTTTCCCTTAACTATTAATTTTACGATAGAAAAGCTAAGAGCGTTTAGTTTAAACCGAAGCCTCTAATTAGTTAGTTAACCTAAGAAGACCTACCTTAACTAAGGGGATGTATCGTATAGGCACACAGACTATAACGTGGTCTATAGGGGTAGGGAGGATCCACGCTATAACTAAGGGCTTCGGATATAATAGGGGCGGATACCGGAAAAGACCGGATAGGATCCAAATAACATAGTACCTATAACAGAGTCTTCACCACCTAAATTAAGGGTATAAGAGACTCACCCAGATATAACTAGACATAATACACACACACAAGATTTCTGCTCTACTAAGTTAATCATCCAAGTGCCTTTTGACGTGCGATAAAACTAACCCGGAATTAAACCGAAGTCACGCCCCGATATCGACCTTCCACCATCCAACAGCTCCTATCAGGGACCACAAACTAAGGTCCACGACCATAAACTCGCCTCGCCGCCCACGCCTAGGATGGCACGATGAGCCAACAACAGGGAAACGTGTCTCAAGGGCATACTAGGAACAAATCAGCGACAAAAGGTGGGCCTTCAACAATAAGAGCCAGCATTGAATCGCGATGATCCAGCATTCCCCGAAAATCTCCCCTGTTCTGCTTCGGCCATGTCTCAGACCTGCCACTCCCGCTTGACAACCCCTATGTCTTTGCGTGCTGACGTTTGGCCGGCAGCTTCGCGTCCGAGATCGTCTACGAAGGGACCCCTGGACGTGGATGAGTGAGTCTCTATACCGTTGCCCCTGTGCCCCTGTGCTCATACACCATTTACTTTGGCATTCGTCTACCACGCGACAACCATCAGCTGCATAACTGACATCCGATAACCCAGCTTACCGTTGAACGATCCACTCTCGTCACCAAGACTCGACCCGCCACAGCACAAAGGACTCCCCGGTCATCCCTCCCTCCGATCACGATCCCCCGTCGGCTCTCCCACTCCGCCGCCCAAAGTCCTCCGAGCACCCATTCCGAAAGACTTCAGCTTCCTCCTACGTCCCGAAATTTACCACCCCCTCACACCTCTCAACGTGCCCGCCGCCTTCCGAAATTCGCCCAAGCAACCCAACCCCGATGCACCACTCTCCGACCTCCTCGAAAAAGGCCACTTCCGCGCCGCAGCCATCGCCGCCGTCCAGGAGCTGACGTCATCATCACCCTCCAACCCCCCCATCGACCCGTCCGACCACCGACGCATCTTCGACCTGCTGTACACGCGGCTAGCATGCCTGACGCTCATCGAAGCGACATCGCTCGCAGCGCAGGAAGTGCGCGCTCTCGAAGACCTCAGCAACACGGCCCTATACGTGGACGACGCGACGGGTGAGCACCTCGTGCCGTGGCACCTGCGAGTCCTCAACGTCAGGCTCCAGGCCATCGGGTTTGGCGATCCTAGGAGGTCTGTGATGAGCTACCACGACCTGGCGCGGGAGGCACGGGAGCAGATCGGTCGCGCGGCGTCACGGCACGACAATTCGGCGCGTGAGCTGTGGAAGGCCCGTCTCCACGACCTGGGCGTCAAAGTTGCCGGGGCGCTCATTGAGATGGATGACTTGTCCGGGGCGGCGTATCATCTGGGCACCCTGCGGGATGACGGGGACGGGAAGATGGCGCTGGCGAGGGCGCTCCTATGGCTCCATTTGGGAGACGTCGAGGCGGCGAGGCGGTGTGTGAGCGGCGTGGGGGAGGATGGGAGACACGTGGAGCAAGTTGTGGCGGCGCTATGTGAAATGGCGGACGGGAACTACGCCGCGGCGCAACGAATATGGGAGGTGTTGAGGGAGGAAGTAGATGATGAGATGGTCGGCGTGAACATTGCTGTGTGCCAGCTATACACGGGCAACATGAACGAGGTAGGCCAGTTTTGCGCCTTTCGTTTCCCCTCGGCTTACCTCTCTCTCTCTCTCCTTTTTTTTTCTTCTTCTTTTTCTTAACATTGTCTCCCCCTTTTCCTGCCAGCATGGTGCTAACGGGCAAGTACAGGGACGCGAGGTCTTGGAGAAGCTGGTGGATGCAGGCTATTCGTCTCACACGCTTCTCTTCAACTTGGCCACTATATACGAATTATGTACAGAGCGGCAGAGGGCTCTCAAGATGCGGCTGACAGAGAAGGTCGCCGGATTTGAGGAGACCCCTAAGGGGTGGGAGAAGTACAATGTCGACTTCAAACTATAGGCGGGAAGGAAGCTGTCCTATCTCGAAGAACCATTCAAATAACGGGCGTACGTTCTATATGTTCTTAGGGAGACCAGGTTGCCCTTTTACTGGGTCAGGTATGTTTCCCCTTCGTCTCTATTCGTAGGTACGAGTTCGAATCGTAGCTTTGGCGGCTCCCCGTTGACCCTGCATGTCAAATGATGGCGTGAGTGCGTGTGTGTGGATGTGCGGGTATGTGGGTCTACTCCGCATGCGTAAACGTCTTGTGATTGGTTGCATCTATGTAGCGTCTTCAGCGCGCCCCACTATACCCTGTCGGTTCCTACGGGGGGAGGCACTTCTTCAACGCTTATTTACACTGTACTCATACATACAAAAATGAGGCTGGTTTACAATATGCGTTAAATTGCACTGTGTTGCTTGGAGCTATGACCCGGGTCGAAGCTCAACTTCCCCTAGAAACCCCAAAGTCATCACGTCACCGGACCCGCTGGCATTGAAACGACGACGCAACACCAAAAAAGTCACCTTCCCGCCAATTTTGACTGTGAGAAGACTTCGGTTATTAACGTTCTCGAGCTACGGTAGGCAAATAGAAACTGCCAATTCCGAAGCTTCTCGACTCCTCCTCTCGACTCCCCGTTCCCCCTTCTACCTTCCTGTGTGGAACTTTCCCCCTGGTCCGACCCAGCCCATGCCACAAACGTCTTGCAACAGAGCCTGTCGGCAAGAACCACTGCGTAATAATACTCCGTACTCCATAATCCGTAAATCCGATTCCCAGTCTCATCTTGTGTATCTTCTGTAACCGTTCCCTTACATCAGCCCATTATTACAGCTTTTCCCACTTATTTTCTTGCTCTCGTCTTCCCACCATTACCTCCTCTTCACAACTCCAACGCCAACACATCATAATTCATCGCTAACGGCGCATATTCCCTTTCCTAACGTCGTCAGTTCCACACCCAAACGCCAGAGAAGTGCACATTGTATCATCACGGCGCCTTCAAAGCGCTCTCTCTAGCCCCGGTTTTCGTCCCGACGTCGGCTCTCGCTTAAGCCTGTTCCTGCGTTACTTTTCCGATCAGCGACGCTGTGCGCACTTCTAAAGTTGTATTTCTCGTCATCATAATGGACTCCAACCCTGTTCCCGGAGCTATCCCAGCTGTCCCGGATACCAACAAAGGTGAGATATACCATCATGTACGCAACGTACTATCCCTCGTCGCTGAATATGGGAGATGCGCCATTGGGGTCGACCAAGTCCGCGCAGCTTCTCATGAATTGCCAGCGATGCGATTTGATGGGCAGCCCGGTCTCCTGCAGCGACTCGCCCGTCACTACCACGCTACCTCCATTGTTCTCCATAAAGACGGAATGGCGCTGACAGACCTCACTTCCGTACAGCCGCTGAGCCCGCCGTTCCCGAACCCCCCGCCAATGTCCCTCAAAGCGCTGAGACCGACACTGCGAAACCGGTTGAGCCTACGGCCGCGGTGCCAGCACCGGCATCCACATCGGAGGCCAGCAAACCCGCCGAGTCCGCCGCCGCCGCCGCCGCCGATGCCCCCAAACCCGCCACCGTAGAGGACGTCACGGACAATGAAGCTCCTACTATAGGCACTAGTGCCCATGCCCCTGCAGGGCCTGCTGCTTCGGCTGTCGAGCCATCGGCCACGGAAGCCGCTGCCGCCGCCGCAGAACCTGCGACAGAAACCGTCGATAAATCCGCCGAGCAACCTCCCTCTGCAGGCCAACCCGAAGCAGAAGCCGGAACGGCCACTGCAGAGACGGAAAATCCCAACAAGGCAGAACAGAAACCAGGTGCCGCAGCCGATGAGCCGGTCATTGACAAGCCTTCGGGCGTCAACGGCGATGCGGCGCCGGCCGTGCCATCCAAGGACGTAGAGATGACGGGCGCGCTCGCGGACGCCGAGGCCGCGCAGCCCGCAGTTGCGCCCGCTACCGAAGCCAAACCTAGCGACGAGGACGGCAAGACCGAGGCCGAACCTGAAGCCAAGGCCGAGACACAATCGTTGCAACCTGGCGAAAAGAAGCGCAAGGCGGACGAGCTCGGGGAGTCGCCAAATGGCCACGATGACGCTGCAGCGAGCAAGAAGCGCAAGCCCGGGCGGCCGCCCAAGGCCAATGGCGCGACAAACGGCAGGGAGAAGGAGTCTGTGGGCCAGAAGATGGCCAAGAAAGTGAAGAAGGTGATTCCTTCTGTTGGAAAGACGGAGCGTAGGACGAGGAGCCAGGGGCCAGTCTGATTTGAGTCGTGTCTGGCTAAGTTTTATGCTTTTCTTTCTTCCTTTTTTTTCTTTTATTATGATTGGGGAGGGGTTTCGAGGGGCCGCCCAGGATTATGCTTATTAGTTTCAGCTGTGGTGGTCGGATATACGGGCAAGATGGAATACGGGCACATTGGGTGAGTGCATGGAGATGGGTTATAGGTATTCCCAACGCTGGTCTAATTCACATTCTTTGGTCGAGTGTGGCTTGGATACAAAAGGAAGGTTGGTTACACGTTGGACGACATTCCCGGCCTCCAACTACGGCTATGTATGGCTGATGATGGAGGCATATGTATGGAACGAATTATATGTATCTATATACTAAACGGTCTGTTTACAACTCGTCTGAGAATATGTGATATATGCTGTTTTTACTTAGTCAACCTCGGCCTCCTTTTCTTGTTATTCTTCTTCGTCGAGCTACGTGCTGCAAACCGAGGGTACATACGACATACGGCATACGTGTGGAAGCATAGTGCGCTTGCCTGGATATAAAAGAACACAGGGCGTCATGTTTAACTACGGAACGGTCCCGAAGAAGTCAACAGCCATTGAGAGGAACGCAGCGGGCGGGATGCAGGATGCATGAGCGGCTCGCCTGATGACACGCGGCAATGTCGAGATTCGAACTACGAGCTGAAAACAAAGCTTATTTTGCGTTTCATCTGTGGCGCCAGTCTGGATGATGATGATGATGGTGAGAGTAACGTTACAATGTCCATGTCTGTATGTTCAGGACGGCCAACTCTGTTGTTGGATTCAGGACGTGAAAGTGACCTCTATAGAGGACAATGCGAAAAGTTCATTGCAAACTCCCCTAGTACTAAATTGAATTAATCAAGCCTACCCATCACCAAACAAGTCTACGCCGTTAACGGTTTGCATCGCATCACACAAGCGGCAATAGGACCAGAAGTACTACATCCTCCGACGGACGGAACCTATGGAGATGGAGGGCAGCTGTGGGAGCCGACATACGAAGGTTTGTATGAAGTATTTACAAAAAAGGAAAGAAAAGGCCCCCGCCAAAACTTTGAGAATTATTCATTCGGGTCGATCAATGGAGCTAGTGGTTGATTAAGAGATACCGAAGGGCTTGACGAGGTAATTACAGGCTAAGGTAAAGTCAAAAGGCAAGTTGGCACCGTCCTCTCTCCGAGATTAGGAACACAGGAAGAAGACGCCTTGGTCATGCCGTTCCCGTCAAGGTATGGGTTTAGGCGTCTAAGGCAGTCGCCGGCCCCATCTCTCTGATCAGGGCTCGGAGTAAACGGGATGAACTAAGGATAGGCTTACTCGAACCGCTCGCTTTCCCACTTGACCCCTTTTCTCGTCATGAGTAATGAGAAGAGAGAGAGAGAGAGAGAGAGAGAGAGAGGATTTAAGGGATCAACAAGTGGAGGTGCGAAATACCCGAGAGCAAAAATAGTACAGCCATAAGATCCTTTCCCTATTCCTGTAGTCGATTCGATGCATGACAATACCTATCGGTTCTTCGTATCTAAGGTACCTTGCCAGTTCAGCTCCAGTCAGGGGTTCTTCAAGTTCTAGCCGACGCCACGACAGCCATGCCAGTGGACGGCAGACTAGAAATTAGTGGACTGGCGGCCTGCCATGGAACGGGGATTCGTAAGCCTTGCTGGGATATGGCTCGTGGCTCGGTCCAATGAAAGACTAGACTTGACGGGACGTTGGGCCCGGTTAAAGAAACGCTCTCCACTTCTTTGGGTCTGGCTTCGTATCCTAACTTGCTCGAGAACTCTGGGTTTGCGAACCACGACGTGTCGTGGGCGTGACCATGGATTTATTCGCAAACCAGTTTATTAGCATAAAGCCAAGCAAGGGGCGGAGCACCGAGTACGGATAGAGTACTCCGTATGCAGTAAGGTTACGGTAGGTATATGTCTGGATGAATAGTCGTACTCTATCCGTACAACGTGTACCTTTCCTTGCTAATTACCTTATGGATAAGGTACTGTATCAGTATCTCAGTGTCAATAGGTACTTCGGACTCCGAACAATCATATACGTCCACTACATATACAGTGCGGAATACTTTCATTGTGTACCGTATTTGGCTGTTATTTGTGAGATGCTCTCTTTCCCTTTCTTACCTCTGCTCCGTGCGAAGTGACTTCCGCTCTCGAAATCCCGTGATCCTCAGACTAGAACCCCGGAACTCCGTCTTCCTGTCTCCTCATTTTTTATCTCTCCTTCTCCTCCTTTTCCAACGTTCTCATTACCAACTTTGGACCAGACCGTCCATCTTTTCCATATTTCCCTCGTTCTAATCTTCGGTGCTCAGTCCCCCCCCCGTTCGTTCTACCTATTGTCCCGTCCGTCCCACTCACGATCTTGGGCTGGACAGTCATTCGTTTCTTTGTCTTATCTTCTGGGATTCGTTCTCGGCGGATTCTTCCTTCCTACGCTGGCTCTCTTTGAACGACAGCCTGTGACTTGCACGTAGCGACACTACACGCGACACAACGACAGACGACAGACGACACGCGGACGGATCCACCACCGTCGAGTCGAATAAAAACTGCC